GGCCACACTACCTATTACAGTCTAAGCAAGAGTGATACAGAAGGAGAACACAGTGGGAAACCCAGAAAGGATTTTATGTTTAAAATCCAACTTATATGATTGTATTATGGACTCTTTTTATGGGCAATGCAGATTTAGATTCCAATGCACAGTCAACCTGTGGAACTTGTTGGCAGGGGATGTGGTGAAGACCAAAACTATAAAAGAACTAGATAAATTCATGGAGGACAGGTCCATCAATGGCTATTAGCCAAGATGGTCAGGGTTGCAACCCCATGCTCCGAGTGTCCCTAGTCTCTGTTTGCCAGAAGCTGGGAATGGGCTACGGGATAGATCACTTGATGATTGCCTGTTCTGTTCATTCCCTCTAAAACGCCTGACATTGGCCACTGTACTGGGCTAGATGGACCATTGCGCTGACCCAGTATGGCCATTCTTATGTTCTTAATAATTATTGTAATTGTTCATATTATGTTACTGCCTACTATTGACTGGGGCTCTACTGTGCTAGACTCTGTGCAGGCATATAGAAAGGCACAGCCCCTGTTCTGAAGTGCTTACACTGTAAATTAAAATAAGATGCAACAAGTAAGGGAACAATTGGGAAAATGATGTTGACAGTACTAAGACCATGTCTACACTTACAGGTAGGTCCGAGATCAATGCAGCAGGTGTCGATTTAGCGGGTCTGGTGAAGACCCACTAAGTCGATGGCAGAGCACTCTCTGGTTGACTCCGGTACTCCAGCTCCCTGGGAAGCATAAGGTAAGTTGACAGGAGAGCGTCTCCTGTCTACACAGTGGGGTTTAGACATTGCGGTAAGTCAACCTAAGCTACGTTGACTTCAGTTACTTACCGCAGTAGTGTAGGCAGTTATATGATCCAGCCATGTGCATCGGTGTGCAATTGATTCAATTACATCATGTTGTTGTTAGCTTTTTCCTTTTGGGGGGGAGAGAGGAAGTAGAGTTTTTGTTCGTTTTTTTTAATTTAAACTCCTTTTATCTTAATTTTTATTTTTTAAACCTCAGCCTAGTTTTTATATATATATTTTTATTTTTATCACTACTGTTTCTGTTTTTTCTTAATTTTTAAATTTACATTCCACTTCACAGACTCTCGAATATCACACTTATTATTATTCCAAATACTAAACCCACAAGTCCTCAAGCACCAGTGCATTAGGGGTCACAGAATCAATGAGTTTCCTCTTCTTCTTCTTTTCTTTCATGTGACAATGGAAAAGCAGTGGGCTGGGATTATAATTGAATCTTAAGATTCAAAAGCCATTCTCATGCTTCTGGACGAGCTTGGTGGATCCCACTTTTACCACCATGGTAAGCGTGAATGGGGCAGTTATCTGTGATGTTGCATGGTTTGTACCTCACCACTGTCACAATTTGGTGATTCTTTAATTTTTCCATTAATGAAGGAGATAGCCACACCTTCCATACATTGTCTGAACGCAGCTTAGTGCAGTCCACTGCCTACAGGGAAGACAGAACCCTGGGATTTCTTTTGTTGGGTTTTCAATGAGGTCTTTGTTTGGGACCAGCCCACAATTTGAGCCAGCAAGTTCTAGCATCCTTTCTGTTGGCCTGTGGCATTGACATGTTGATCCAGCAAACTTCCTGGATATGAGTCAGGAGAGTGACAGTGAATTGAGGTCTTGGTGTATTGGCAGTTCCGGAGTGGCCAGAATCTTGTTTAACTCCCAGACCACTGCAACATCTCACCTGATTTTAGCTAGTGTGATGTCCGCCTAAAGTAGGAGCTTCAGTATTAGCATTGATGCAAGAAAATCATTAACAATCCTGAGTGCCGCATTCATTTCAGTGTCAATGAGATTGGTGTGAGAGCTGTGCACCAAACTGGTATGCAATACTCCACTGTTGACAAAACCTGGGCTTGTACTGACGTTCGAAGCTTGTGTGCATCACATCCCCAGGATGTGCCAGAAAACTTCTGGATAATGTTAACCCTCATCCTTTATCTTCTTTGTGGTGTTGTCAAGTTGTTGGTGATGGCTCAGCATCCAATCAATGGTAGCTCCAAGGTACCATGGGTTGTGGTCATGCAAAAGAGGTAGACCATAAAAGAGGTAGACCATGGCATCATGGTTGTTCAAGTGGAAGACAGAAACAAGTGTTTTCGAAGTGTTGGGTTTCAGTCACCAAGCTTTGTAATATGTCTTAAGTGTCCAGAGTTCATTGTTCATGACCTTTTCTGTGGCCTTCAGAAAGGACGCTTGTGTTGTTAGCACAATGTCATCCACATAGATGAATTTATGGGATGATGTGACCAGAATGTCACTGGTATAGAGATTGAACAGTGAAGGCATTAAAACAGATCCCCGTGGGAGGCCATTGTTCAAGCTCCATAATTTGCTAGAAGACTCACCAAGGTGTGCAATGAATCTGCTGTTACTCAACACCTTGGTGATGAGTCTGATGACTGATTGGCACGGGAGAGCTAATGTTACCTTCAGCAGACCTTTGTGCCACACAGTATCGTATGCAGAAGAAATATCAATGAATGCTGCTGCTGTTTTTAATTTTCGCTGGTAGCCATTTTCTATGTAGCTGGTTAAAGCCAGCACCTGGCCACAGCAGTTGTGACCGGTTCTAAATCCAGCCTGCTCTTTGGAGACCAGTTGCTCCAGAGTTGGCTGTAACCTTTGAAATAGGAGCTGCTCCAACAGTTTATAGCAACTGTTAAGGAGGCAGATGGGCTGGTAGCTTTTTGGGCCAAGTTCTTTTCCAGGCTTCAAAATAGCTATGAGCTTGGCTACATTCCACTCTTTCGGTATTATGCCAGAAGAGTGGATGTTGCTGAAGAAGTCTACCAGCCAACTTCTTGCCTTCAGGCCAAGGTTCTTCAGCAATTTTGTGGTATATTCTGTCCATTCCTGTCACTTTCCTGGACTTAGTGTTGGAGGCTCCCCTTGAGATAACAAGCCTGGTACATATCAATTTCTTTGTTAAATTGATGAACTCGTATAAGCTTGCAGTGTCCAGCGGGCATAACTGGGCAGTGCAAGATGGAGGTTCCTAGGGTTGGGTTGTGTCTGGGACTGGAGGTATTGGCTAGTGTCATTCGGTTGCACAATCCAAGGAGCAGCTTACATGTCAGAGGCTGTGCGTGAACAGCCCAGGAGTGGGGGTTCTCATAGCAGAGCAGGGTGAGGCTGGCTCCCAGAGTCAAGGATTAGAGTGACCTAGCAGATCACTGGTCCAGATAACACCAGAGGGGAACATCACAGAGATATACCCATATGATCCTGGCAAGTGACCCACACCCACACACTGCAGAGGAAGGCGAACCCCTCACCCCCAGGGTTACTGCCAATCTGACCTAGGGGGAAATTCCTTTCTGACCTCACATATGGCAATCAGTTAGACTCTGAGCATATGAACAAGAACCTGCCAGTCCTGCACCTGAGAGAGACAATGTTCAGTATCACCACAGAGCCGTGGCCCACTCCTCCAATGTCTCATCTCCAGCCATGGCCATCCCTGATGGATGGATTCCTTCAAAGGAAGAAAAAACCCCATCTCCAAATACATTGGGGGAGAATCCCTTCCTAACCCCTCCAGGTGGCCAGCTGAAACTCTGAAACTTGAGCTTTAGGAACATAAGCCATAAAGTAGAATCGAGCCCCAGGGCTTTTGAACCCTGCCCTGACCTGCACCATCACAAGCAATCCTGTCATACAACTGCACTCATACATTTGTCCACAATTTCTATTGGGAGGCTGTTCCAGAAGTGCACCTCTTCGATGGTTAGAAACCTTCTTCTAATGTCCAGCCTGGATTTGTTCATGGCCAGTTTATAGCCATTTAGTTTTGTGCTAACATTGTCCTATAGCTTAAATAGCCTTCACCCTCTCTGGTATTTATCCCCCTAATGTATTTTATAGTGCAATCATATCCCCTCTCAGCCTTCTTTTTGCTAGACTAACCAAGCCAAGCTCTTCTAGTCTCCTCTCAGAAGACAGGCCCTCCATTCCCCTGATCATCCTAGTAGCTCTTCTCTGTACCTACTCCAGTTTAAATTAATCTTTCTTGAACATGGGTGACCAGAACTGTACACATTATTCCAGATAAGGTCTTATTGTACAAAGGCATTAACACTTCGCTATCTCTACTGGAAATGCCTTGTCTGATGCATCTTAGGATTGTGTTTGCCTTTTTCACAGTCACATCACATTGGTGGCTCATTGTCATCTTGTGATGGACCCACACACCTAGGTCTCTCTCTTCCTGTGTCAATTCCAGTGGATGAGCCCCCAGCTTGTAGCAGAAATTCTTATTATTAGACCCCATGTGCATGACCTTGCACTTTGTACTATTGAAGGTCATCCCGTTTCTGTATCTCTGGTGTTCAATGTCATCCAGATTTTTCTGTATAATGTTCCAATCCTCCCCTGTATTGACGATACCTCCCAGCTTTGTCTCATCAGCTAATTTCATTAGAACACTTACATTTTGTGCCAAGATCATTAATAAAAATATTGAATAAGGTTAGGCCCAAGACCAATGTTGGAGGAGCTCCACTACTAGCCTCCTTCCAGTCCCTTTGTTTCATGGTGGTGGTGTTTTTCAGGCTCACACTGGCAGATACACGAAATAGTGTCACTGTTTTGTATTTAAAAAAAAAATGTCATAGGCTGATAGTGTGTCCTCTACTTGATGGAATGGAACCAGGTGACTGTGTGGCATAGTCCTAATACTGCTAAAGGTAAAGGAGATTTTCCTTCAGCTGAAGTGGTAGCGGTCTGTGCTTTTGGAGCAGAAGGATATGAATTCTAGCCCCACTGCTGCTGCAGCCATAGGGTGTGTCTACACTGCAGTAAAAGACCTTCAGCTGGCCTGGGTCAGCTGACTCAGGCTCGCGAGGCTCAGACTTCAGGGCTATAAAATTACAGTGTAGACATTTGGGCAAGGGGAAGCCCAAGCCTGAATGTCTAAACTGCTCTTTTTAGCCCCACAGCCCAAGCCCTGGGAGTCAGAGTCAGCTGAGCTGGGCTCTGAGACTCGGTGCTGTGGGTTGTTTATCACAGTATATGTATTATAATTGTGGCCATGAAATCTTATGCGCCTATTACTGCCTCTCTCAGAATAAAGAATCAGGTCAGAGAGCACCCATCTGAGGTTAGCTGTTTCAGGGAGAGGAAGTTAATTCTGTCCTGGACAGAAGGCTGCAGTATTGATGTTTCTTTTGTTTTTGCTGTGTGTTTGTTTTAAAACAGGAGAAAGCAACTCATCCTGGAGGCCCTGGGAATATCATGGATGAGATTGGTGAGTTGGGCTGATCAGTGGGATCACAGACATCACAGAGCTCACTGGAGTAATTTCATCTGTTACGTGCTGAATGGAACAACAGACTAAATACACTTAGCTTTGCTTTCTGCAGCACAGTGAGCACCCAGCAATGGATTGTGATTTCTTCTTAGTTTTCTCCCGGAGTCCAGGGTTCCCATCTAGTGTATAACCTGCTAACCAAATGGAGATTTCCTTAGAGAGAAAGTAAATCCAGAGGGAGGAAATGTAAGAGTTTGAGTGTAGGGGAGTTCTGGCTGTGTTAGTGTAGTTGAGGTGTGTTAAGGGAGGGAGCATTCACTGTCTGGATGCAGTGACTCCAGAACGTGGTAGATTGAAGTGGGAATCCTAAAACTAAGTCTGGGCTTCCTCTTCCCCCATTTAATGCCATCCATCTCACTGCACCCAGCTGCAGCCATCCAACCATGCAGCTCGTCTGAGCCTGCAGTCAGCCACTGGAGTCCGCACTATCCATTGGATTTCCTTTTTCACCTGGTTCCAGTGTTGTTCTGATATCTCTCTGGGGAGTCCCTAGGGTCCGCCCTTAGATTTAACTTACTTCTTTAGTGCCCTGGAAACATTCTTAAATGTAAACCCTTCCAGTGCCATTGCTAACCTGTTGGGTTGCAATCCTTGACAGTAAAGCTCCAAGTATAATAAACCATGTGTTACCTGCTTCAGATGAATTAATCTGATCTGTCATGGCACCACTATGTTGGGGTACCTCTGAGACCTTGTCCACTTGGTTCCCCAAGAATTTTGTTTGACACCGGTCTCGTCACTCAGGGTCCTTTATTTGGGATACCTCAAGCTATGCTGAGTTGATCAGACTGAGATGTGGGGGTGGGCACAGGTTATACCACATATCCAAAGTTATACAGAAACTCCCTTCCATTATATACATTATATTCACTATATATTGCATTATTCCTTTGGGGATTGGCTTAGTTACTTTGCAGGAACCTATCCCTGTATAGCAAGCTCTGCCCACGTGCTGTCCATATTCAACTTTTCTCTTTACACTCCTGACTTCTCTTTCCCCATTGTTATCTTGTTCTTAGTAAATGGTTCCCAGGGTGTTCTCCCTCTTATCTTAGCAAGCTCAGACATTCTGTTTCCAGCCTGCTTATCCATTTACCCACCTAATCCTGTCTCCCAAGATATGAGGCCTCCTCCATATTTAATTACTCATGTCAAGCCAGTCCTACATAGGGGTATGGGACTATATAAAGCCCCTGACGCATGATTCTGCTAATCCAGGATGTGAGAGTGCCTTCCCCTTTTTTATGTGTGTGCTTTACCTGATTCATGTCATTCATTTTATCAAATTTCATCAAATTACCCTTTCCCCTTACAAATCACCTCTCATTTCAGATGCAGAATTCCACTACACCCCAGCCCCTTAGTGTTCGCAAAGCTGGGAAACTGTTTTGTATGATCTGGCTGAATTCTGGAGCTGGTCAAAAAATGCCAGTAATTTTTCACTGGAAATTTTGAGGGTTTTTTGTTTTCATCAAATGTCTCATGAGAATTTTTCAACCAAAATGATACACCAAAAACCATTTTCAGATAAAATGTACGGTTCCCAAAATCTGAAAATCATTCAGTAAAAATTTTCAGGTTTGGGTTTCCATTTTTTTCCTGTGAAAAAACAGAATAGTTTGAAAATAATTTTTTCCACACACAAATTGTTTTTGACCAAAAGCCTTGTTTGTCAGAATTATGTCTTGGCAGAAAAAATGTTTCCCAGCTTTATCAAATACACCTTTTTGGCATTGTATGTTTGCGGTCAACTGCACATACACGCTTTTGACTGTGAATAGATGCGTCATACCACGAGTGACCTGGATGGCCAATTTCGAAGCTTAGATAGTCAGTACCAATACTAGACACAACATAAATGCTCCATAGATGGCCATTCATTCATTTGTGATGTCGGTTGAATGCCGATGAATGATGCACCAGGGCTTCACAAAAAAGCCCAGATCTGCCGAATTATGCATCCAGGGAATGTTATTCGATCAGCTCTCTACAGAAGTTTGTACTGTACATGTTGAAGAAAAGGAACCCACAACGTTTCCTCCTCTGCTCATTATTTTTGGTTTTGGCCATATCCCTCATCTTGGTCTGTCTTGAGCCGTTCGGGCACAGCCCTGCATTGAGGGTGGCATGGCCCTAAAAGGAGCTCCTGGAAACAAGTTCAAGTGCTTCCCTTAGCTCTGGGGAGTGGAGGGTAAGCACAGTCCTTGCTGCACCTGCTGAAAGGGTGTGACATGCTCCCTTTACCTGGTGTAGGACCAGCTGTGCTGGCCAAAGTGGCACAGGAGAGGGGACAGATCCATAGCTGCCACCCACTTTTGGAGACCAGTGCCACTGTAGGCTCTTGCCCTGTGCTCTAGGAGCACAAGGACTATGATTTTGCCTGGAACCCTCTAATGCTACCTTTCATAGCTCCATGGGTCTGGTCACAGTCCTGTCCTTAGAGACCCCTCCTTGATGTTGGAGGGATGAGAGTGCTATGTTCTCTTGTGCTGCTGAAGTGTAATGCTCTCCAAAAGGTCACTGTTCTCAGTCACTACATACAGCACCAAAAATAAATGCTGAATTAAAATAAAAAAGTTTTGAAATGATAAAGGCATTTCCAACTGAAGGAAACCTCAGGGCTGTTTTATAGGCTTGCAGGAGCTTTGTGTCAGATGTAGGACTCATAAGCAGCAGGGAAGACAGAAGTTCAAGTCCTAGCCTCCATCAGTGGTTAACCTGATCAAGAGCTGGTACTGCAAGGCAGTCTCAGATCTTATCAAACAGAGAGAGATATTTTTCTATGTCCTGCTTCCAGAACAAGCAGTGCAGGAGACAGCAAACACAGAGCTGTATGTGAGAAGACAGCACCAGACAATCCCCAGGAGCCACGGTGAGGCTCAATGGTAAAGACAGTTCATCCTGGGTGTGCTTTTGGCTCAAGCCTTGGTTACACTTGCAAGTTAGAGCTCATTAAATCAGTCCCGGGTGCTCTAACTCCTGAGGTGTCCACACTGGCAAGGCACTTAGAGCGCCTGGACTCTGCAGCTGGAGCACTCCTGGTAATACACCTCCACGAGAAGCATAGAGCTTGCTGTGTACTGGCTGAAACGCCCAGGTGTCAGCGTGGATGATGTGTTGCATTACTGCGCTGTGATTGGCCTCCGGAAACGTCCCATAATCCCTTGAAGTCAAGTGGCCACTCTTGTCATTGTTTTGAACTCGACTGCAGGCATGCGGATATCCCCTTTCAAAGCTCTATTTCTGACAGCCAGCATGCTTATCTGCTCTGGGACAAAGGAAACCGTTACTGTGGAATGCTGCTGCTGCCGAGGTGTGTGTGTGTGGGCTAATGTTGGGGTTTCCCCCTGCTGCTGTCTGAACTTACAAGACAGCGTGCTGACACACTCTCTTCCCCCAAAACACGCTCTCTCTCCCCCCACATACACACAATACACTCCTTGTCACACTCCCCACCCTGCCATTTGAAAAGCATGCTGCAGCCACTTGCACACTGGGATAGCTACCACAATGCACTGCTCTCTGTGGCGTTGCAAGAGCTGCTAATGTGGCCATGCCACTGCGCTTGCAGCTGACAGTGTAAACACATGACAGCACTTTCCCTGCTGCGGGCTCTGAAGGCTGGTTTAACTCCCAGCGCTTTACATCTGCAAGTGTAGCCATGCCCTCAGTGATCTTTGGCTCTTCAGATAAGCTTTTTATTTGCTCTTCTGGATTTTCCATTTCTGCTAAGCTCGGCCAGTTCTTTCTGTCTGAATAGCAGAAAGGAGACAAAGCTTCTAAAAGAATGACTGCTTGCAAGGGAGCTCACAGCAGCATGGATGCTGCTGCAGCCTCAACAGGCATTACAGTAGGCAGCAGTGGGTAACCGAGGAAATGGAGATCAATTGAAAGGGTAACAGCCTGTAGATTGGGCACTGGCAGAACGTACAGTGCAATCTGTCATACGTCCCATATGTACAGCATATAATGTATTCTCTTCATGGTTAGGGAGGACACCTAAGGCCATATTGGATGGCCTACTCCAAGTGGGATGAGCTTCTAGCATAGTTTTTGCCAATACCTGCTAAGGCTGGGATAGAAAACTTGAGGAGGGGACCATTTTCTACCTCCTTTGGGACAGTGAAGACAGCTAATTATCAACGACCCCAGCTGGTTACTTCACCAAGAAACATGTCACTTGACTCTGATCATTCATTCTGCTGACTGGCTTTTCTTTAAAAAAACAAGTTCTCCTTTCTCAGGGCAAGTCAACACTACCACGCTACATCAGTGCAGCTGCACCGCGTCTGGTGAAGACCTGCTATGCCAATGGGAGAGCATTCTCCCATTGGCATAATTATTCCACCTCTGTGTGAGATGGAAGCTATCTTGGTGGGAGGGTGTCTCTCACTGACATAGCGCCAGTGTGGACAGCGTTTAAAACAATGTACCTTGCATCGTTCTGGGGGGTGTATTTTTCACACCCCTGAGCGATACAAGTTACATCGACTTAAGTGGTAGTATAGACCAGCCCTTAGTAATGCCAGTGTAAAGCTAGAGCCACTCCAACAAACTGACTCTGGATTTACAGCAGTGTAGCTGAGGTCTAACTCTGGCATAGAGTCTGTATTACATAGTAGTACACCATGGTGTATGTGTTGTGTCAAATTCTACAGTAGTCTGTGTTCTGTATTAGATATGCTGCACAATATTGTATGGATTCTTTTCTACCATGGTATAAAGAGGGACTATACTTTTAAGACAAACTGAAAAAGAAAAATAAATGTGGCTGTGTGCCTTCATAGAGACATGGTGGAATCGCAACTGAAACCAAATAATAATAAAGATGGAGAACTGAAGATGGATAATGACATCTCAAGAGGGTCAAACATCATCTGCAGTTTTCCTACCCCTTAAAATATTGACCTGAGGCTCAACATCCCAGCCTGTCTAAT